CATTCCCACTTCAATACAGTCAACCACCTCGAATTTCAAGGGACCATCAAAAAACTTGGGGAAACAAGGAATTTTGTTGAGGGAAAGAAAGCAGAATCATAGAAACTTGTAAATTGTGACATTCTGAGCCTTAAATTGCTTTTTAAATGAGTTAACAGAAAGCTGAGGCAAGGGTTAATTCATCCCAATATTCTTTCAAAAACGCATCGTCAACTTTTGTAGCTTTTCTCTTTCCTGCGTCAATAAAAAGCCAAACGGCATCCAGAAAAAAAAAAAAAGAACTTTGACAGGGACTTTAAAAAACAAATCATGAGGAGATTCAACTGTATTTTGAAATTTGAATGCTGCATTTTTTGATCCAACTAAAAGAAGAAAGTCTGCCCTAGATGACGTACGTACCAATCGGAGAAGAATCACCGTCCATTTCATCCACCGGATTCACAATGACGACGCCAGTGTGCGCAGAACGACTAGCGGAAATAGGACGCGGTTTCCCAGCACCTCCTTCCATTTTCTCACACACCGATTGTCGATTGTCAAAGCTGAGTTCATGGTTGCCGCCGATCACGATTTTCTTCCGGTGCGGAAGCATTCCTACAATACCAACAACAACAAACAAAAAATTCGTCAGCCCTTACAGAAATAAAATGGAATTTAAATTGTCAAGGCATTTATTTCTTCAGTCTACTCACCGAGCCAGTCATTGAACTCTTTGACTTCTCTCCGGGTTCCACTTCGAGTGAAATCGCCGGCATGAAGGAAAACGTCGCCGTCGGGAATCCTGAAGGTGATCCTGTGCGTCAAGCTGTGCGTGTCGCTCATGCACACAAATCTCACCTGGAAAACACAAACACAAAATTTTAAAAGTTACAGTCAACATTCACGCAAATTGACTCAAAATTGAATGATGCAAAAATAATTTTTGGCACCATTTTTAGCAGAGAAATAATGGCAACGATTTTTTCCGGTCCACAAGCAAAGTCAAACCTCCCCAAGTCAAATTTTTTTGACCAAGTCCGAATTCCTATAGAATCAATGCATAGAATCAAAACCCAGTCTTTTTTATCTAAAAACTCTGCAAGTCAAATTTTCTGAGGTCTTTTGTTCATTATTTCCTTGAAATATGAAAGAGAAAATCATTAAAACAAAACATTTGATGCATCTTGAAAGTAAGTGAAAGACTAATAGGGCTTTTCAACCTTTTTCAGGCGCGTACCCCTTTTCACCCTTAGGAACAGGCGCGTACCCCTATAGTGAGCAAATATGTAGGTGTAAATCATATAATAAACCATGTCTTTGGAATAATTAAAAATTCTCATTCCATTCAAAATCAAATGTAATCCCTTACCTGTTTAATTAATAATCATCTACTTGAAACACGTGATTATACTCTTGATGAGAAATTTCAGACATTCTGGATCCAGAAAAACAACTAATCACAATTAATTTTGATAAAAAATTATCTGTTTGTTGGAATATGAAAATGGCTTAATTTCAGGAGAAATCTGAAGATTGCCATGAATTTTAATTAATTTCAAAATTAGAAATTTCTAACCTGAAATATTGGCATCAAAATATAATTTGTTTACTTTTCATATGAAAGAAATTGTGTATTTTGAATTACCCAGAAAGCTGCATGGCAAGCTTGAAGAACCAATTTTCAATGTTTACCAAAGCACATATATTAGGAATATTCAGAATTTGTGGACAACCTTTCGGGCCTCAAGAAAGATTGTCCACAAATTTTGATCATCAGTCTGGTGCATCCCCATTTACCTTGATGCATCACTTATTCTAGATTTTTGCAGGTGTGTTTTCAAGGAAAAAAATGAGGCCTCTTTTCTAAATTAGGATATCATTATTTCAATGCAGTAAAATTTCCATACTACAGTTGTGGCAATGAGTGGGTTCAGCAAACAAAACTTAAACTTCAGGAAAAAAGGAAGCCACAGAATTTCCTGCAGCAATGATTAGGCTTATTGACACAATGGAAACCACAATTTTGTCTGTAGTATTGGCATAACAAATTCAGCAGAACTGCAAAAATGTCCTCCCAGATGCATTTAAAAAACTGCTGGGAATTTTTTACATGACTTTTGAACTATGACCATCAAGAACCAACACTCATACTCAAAATGTCCAATTTAATCCTTATGTGGAGGCAGCCTCCTTTCCATCCCAGGGCAAAGTTGGACTTTTTCCCCTTGGGCCTGCATAACATTCTTGCACAAGGTTATGCAACCCCTTCCAGGTGGGGAAGGGCAGAGGTGGATTTTTCTGGAGATAAAGAAATGCTGGGAAAGTCCTAAGTTAGACTTTTTCCATATTGACCTCTAAGCTGGGCTCCTGGCTTTCAAGTTCAAATTTAATCTTTGAATGGGGGAGCAACACAAGGCCAGGGGAAAAAAGGTTGCCTTCAAGATTCCGTTTTTTTTCATTTCCAAGTGAAATTTTTCTGTAGGGAATTTTAAAAATGCCAGGATTTTTCCTGACTTTGCCCTGCACACTCTGTCATGGGTTTTTTAAATGCCATTCTTGAGTGCAGCCAAAATCTGCAAAAAAAAGTCCAACTTTGCTGCAGAAGGGTTAAGAGGGGAGATGGGGGAAAAAGTATGCATGCCACTCTTTCCCTTGGATGGATGGAACCTTTGCTGCCATATTGGGGACTGTGGGGAACCTATCCAATGTTCAGGTCACCCACATTAGCAGTATCTGGCATTTTATTTCCACCATCCAAGCAATTTTTGGATTCACTGACAACTTACAGAGGGCAAGAAGTCACTCATCAACAACTTGCCAAAAGCAAAAAATCCCACCTTTCATTTTAATTTTTTTTAAATTTGGCATAGGAAAATGTGTAATTTTTTGCTTACATTTCCCTCACTCCAACACTAATTGTATTGATTTTTGGATTAATTTGTTTATCTGCAAAACAGTGCTTGCATTCTTCTCAACAGATCAACAGTGTGCCATTTATTCTGACAAACATGGAATTTTTTTTTAATCTTGGATTAAAAGAAAGGGAGTGGAATTGTGCATCTTATCTGCAATGGACAAGGAGGAAAAACTCAACATTTCAATCATTAATCCCTCACTGTGCTATTCAATTTTTGAATTATTCCCTGAAATATCATGCTGATGATTCATGTCTGCCCTATCTTTAAATTGAAGAACTGTTTTCAAATGATGTTCTTCAGAATAAGAAAAGGACACTGTTCAACTTTTCATCTGCTGAACAGAAAAACAGGCACAATTTTTTAAATGTAAAAGAGAAACCCAAAAATACAATGCACATAAATTTTGACAAAAGGCAATCTGGGCTAAATAAATCACATTTCACAGGGCTACAACTTTATGAGAATAGAAATAATAAAAAAATATTTTGAGTTGTCATCTTTGGGAAGTTGTTGCTGACTAGGCTGAGTGAGGAGGCCCATAACCTTTTTTTTTTGTGGACAGTGGATGCGTACCCCCTGGCAAGCACTCGCGTACCCCTTGGGGTACGCGTACCACCGGTTGAAAAGCCCTGTGTTAGACAAAAAGTCCTTTACATGAATTCAATTAATATAAAACATTAAAAATTTCAATTTTCAACACTAATTTTAAACCAAAAGAAGTCTGTTTGGCAGATTTTGTCTGTTGGGTGGGAGGAAAAACTGCTTGCAGAGCTGGTCTGTTTGGCGAAAATCCCTTACACGGGAGGTCTGTTAGGTGGGGGGCCACTGTACTTTCCAAATCCTACAGATATGCAGCATGTTGAAACTTAATGGCATTTATTTTTCTGACCCAAGCCACTTTTTTCTTACCAGGTTCTTNAAATTCAGCAGAACTGCAAAAATGTCCTCCCAGATGCATTTAAAAAACTGCTGGGAATTTTTTACATGACTTTTGAACTATGACCATCAAGAACCAACACTCATACTCAAAATGTCCAATTTAATCCTTATGTGGAGGCAGCCTCCTTTCCATCCCAGGGCAAAGTTGGACTTTTTCCCCTTGGGCCTGCACAACATTCTTGCACAAGGTTATGCAACCCCTACCAGGTGGGGAAGGGCAGAGGTGGATTTTTCTGGAGATAAAGAAATGCTGGGAAAGTCCTAAGTTAGACTTTTTCCATATTGACCTCTAAGCTGGGCTCCTGGCTTTCAAGTTTAAATTTAATCTTTGAATGGGGGAGCAACACAAGGCCAGGGGAAAAAAGGTTGCCTTCAAGATTCCATTTTTTTTCATTTCCAAGTGAAATTTTTCTGTAGGGAATTTTAAAAATGCCAGGATTTTTCCTGACTTTGCCCTGCACACTCTGTCATGGGTTTTTTAAATGCCATTCTTGAGTGCAGCCAAAATCTGCAAAAAAAAGTCCAACTTCGCTGCAGAAGGGTTAAGAGGGGAGAGGGGGAAAAAGTATGCATGCCACTCTTTCCCTTGGATGGATGGAACCTTTTTATATCTGCAAAACAGTGCTTGCATTCTTCTCAACAGATCAACAGTGTGCCATTTATTCTGACAAACATGGAACTTTTTTTTTTCTTTAAATCTTGGATTAAAAGAAAGGGAGTGCAATTGTGCATCTTCTCTGCAATGGACAAGGAGGAAAAACTCGACATTTCAATTATTAATCCCTCACTGTCCTACTCAATTTTTGAATTATTCCCTGAAATATCATGCTGATGATTCATGTCTGCCCTATCTTTAAATTGAAGAACTGTTTTCAAATAATGTTCTTCAGAATAAGAAAAGGACACTGTTCACCTTTTCCTCTGCTGAACAGAAAAACAGGCACAATTTTTTAAATGTAAAAGAGAAACCCAAAAATACAATGCACATAATTTTTGACAAAAGGCAATCTGGGCTAAATAAATCACATTTCACAGGGCTACAACTTTATGAGAATAGAAATAATAATAAAAATATTTTGAGTTGTCATCTTTGGGAAGTTGTTGCTGACTAGGCTGAGTGAGGAGGCCCATAACCTTTTTTTTTTTGTGGACAGTGGGCGCGTACCCCCTGGCAAGCACTCACGTACCCCTTGGGGTACGCGTACCACCGGTTGAAAAGCCCTCACTAAGAGAGCAAATGAACCCCTGCCTCCAAGTTCAACAAAGGGGTGAACTCCTCAAGGTGCAAGTTTAGGCCCAGAATATCCTCATTTACAACTTCCGACACTTTTTTCACTTGTCCTCACAACAGAAGTGTTTTGTTTCCTCAACTGGAAACCTCCCTCAGTCCTATTTTTCAAGGTCCATAGAAATCTGACTAACGGAGGTTCAACTGTATAATGTAGAGAGTTTACCTTTAATGATAAGGAAAAGAAAGCTGTACTCTTGGGTCTTTTAAAAGAATGCAAGTCACCTTGTCTGCAGTCACGGGTTTCGTCGGCTGCTTCACCTTGAGCTTCAGCACCTTCTGAGATCGCTTCAACACTGACCATGCTTCCGTGGGATCAGCTGTCAACGGATGCACCAACACTTTCTCATCCAACAAACTCATCACAGACTCAGACCTTCATCTTTTCGCACATTTAGCAGAGAGAGGAAAGAAAAACACCCTAGAGTAAGACCAATTCGCGGGCGGAAATGCAAAAATCGTCAGATTTCCGAGCGCAATTAAATTATCAACAAAATGTTAATTAAGGCGTCATCACATTTCAAATTCCACCAACGCAATTTTCAAATCAACTAATTTATAAATTAAATTAAAGCCCTTTTTCTTCTTACAACTTCTGAGGCTTCAAAACAATTTTGCAAGTAGGAGATTCAAAGGCAATACTCGAGCAGATTTGGTTCATTTTCTTCTAAATATCCAGAGAGAAATTACCAAATGCATGAGCATTATAATTACGGCGTCATCAAATTCCAAATGACAGGAAATGAACGCAATTTTCAGCCCACTTGATTGAAAATTGCATTCAATCTCATCAAATTAGTCAATTTCTGAGGCTTTTTCTTGTACGTTGCGAACTGTAACTGTACCAGATTCCAAGGCAAGGCAGGGAAAAGTTGAGTCTAATGTTCATCTTAATTACGCAGGAAGAAATTACAACCAACTGCATCAAAATTTTGAATAAGTTGCGAAATTCGATTTGCCAGTTAAAGTAATCAAAAATTGGATTACAAAACTTCTCTCTTCTTCAAAAACTATACTATATATCCAATTAAATCGATATTTCGGAAATTTCGAGCTTTAAATTTAGTGGAAATGTTTAAAATTGAAATTTGCGCAGAAACCGAGACAAACCAATCATCAAATAACTCATCAAAAATCAGCGCTTTCGTATATTCTTCCACTTGTATACAGGAGGGGCTGAGACTGTGGCAGGTTCGATTCTCTGCGGTTTCTCTTCACCAGACTTGGTTTTCTGAAACGAGAAAAAAAAATTTTTGAATAAAAACTGACGTGATTGAAAAGAAACTGCAAATGAAACATACTGCAATCATCATTTTCAGCTCCAACTTCCTCCTGATGACGGACAATTCGCGAGCTCGGTCCAACCGCTTTTCCAACTCCGCGTAACCCTTGGAAGACTGCTTGGCTAACCTCTGAAAATTAAACAATAAAGGCTACTTTAAAATTCAATATTTCGATTCATGAAGAGGTGTTTCACAAGTTTCGCGACTGGACAGGAAAAAAAAAGGTTTTGCTCACAGGTTTTGCGAGCGATCATCGAATATCATCAAGTTGAATAACGAGAAAAATACCCCTCGTCAGAATTTCAAGTTAATCTCTGGCCAATTACATTCAGTCCAATGCAATTTTACCTCCATGACTTGAAGACTGTTAGGATCAAACCCCACTTTGTCAAAATTTCAAAGGCAATTTTGTCATTAAATCAGGGCAAAACCTAACAACACCTGTTCCAGGAAGAAAAAACACAAGATATAGATGCAAATAATCTTCTTCGCAATTTTTTTTCCAGTAAAAATCAAGAGTAATAATATTTTAGCGAGAAATTCAAACCCAAACGAAGTTCGATTGTTAAACTCATTCATTTTTTCAGGATTCCTACAAATTTGACTTAGAAAGGTCCGAATTTATCATAACATCCAGGACAATTTTCCAACGTTTTGCACAACAACGTTGAAATGAGTCTATACAAGAGTCTCATTCGTTATACCCATCAATGGAACGAAACAATAAATTTGCGTATTTTTGTCCGGATACAGTAAAATCTCGTTACAACGAAGCCCTTCGGAAAAGTAAAATAGTTTTTTCGTAATGAAAAATTCGTTTTAAAGGAATTATTTTCAGTGTTGCTTTTGGGCAGTGACGGAAAAAAAAGGACTTCGTTTCTAATCGATCATTTGTCTGATTAAATCGCATTCCTTGCAATTAAAACGATTTCTCATGTCATCATATTCTCTGATTCAAAAGATCACAATTAAAAAAAAAATTATCTCATACATTTTTGTCAAGAATCAGTTTTAGAAAAAAAATCGTTGCCAAAAGCGAATCACTCACTTCGACAGCGAATTCATCCTCCAAATCCACACCATGAGCCCCAGCAGCGAGATCCTCAGTGACAGATTCTGTCCGATTGGTAACTAAAAAAATTTTTTTTTACACGAATGAAGATAAATTAGACAACAGAATTTTTTAGGAAGAAAACAAACAGTACCTTCCATCCTTCTCCCGAGTTCATCGAAAATAACCTTCTTGTTCAAAGGCTCTTCAATACCAATCAACTGCAGCTGAGCTTTCAATCTCTCAATCTTCTTTATTTTTTAGGAAGAAAACAAACAGTACCTTCCATCCTTCTCCCGAGTTCATCGAAAATAACCTTCTTGTTCAAAGGCTCTTCAATACCAATCAACTGCAGCTGAGCTTTCAATCTCTCAATCTTCTTTCGCTCTGAAGTCAATTTCATCGTGATGTACTTCAAGTCCTGCGACTGCATCATCAAAACCTGCTCCGGAGTGTGTTTGTCCTTCTCTTCGTTCTCATGATGCTCTCCATCCTTGTATGAATAAAAAATGTAATACAAAATGCCATAAAAAACCAGACAATTTACAACAAACCTCGAGTCGTGAATTGATCATGTGGAAATAAAATTCATCAGGGTTCCTCTCGAGCGCCTTCTTGGCAGCATTTTGAATAGTCCTCTTTTTGTGCTCAAAATACCTGTTAAAAAATTTGAATAAATAAAATTCCGTTAAAAAAACAGCAACAAGTGGCAGGCAATTCATCGAAGTACCCACTTGGCTCGTCTCTTGTAATCTTTCTTCTTCTCTAAAAACCCGAGATGCTGTCTGCTTTCCGGCTGCAAAATTTCAGAATTTTATGAATCAGTACCCTTGAAAACCGACTGCTAAAAACAAAACAAAAAACACCCACCTGATGACGCTCTCTATGAATCTTCTGAGTTGACTTGGCAGCATTTCTCAACGACGACATTTTCACTACACTGAAAAAGAAAAAAAAATTCCGACAATTAAAAACCAAAATGCGTGAAAAATGTTCTCAGGACAAAAAAAGACAAAAATAGACGGAAGCATAGCAAAACTTTTTTTTTTCGTTTTCTTTTTTGTATGAACAACCGAATGTGCAGTGAATGTAGGAAAAAAAGCTTCTTTTTTTCAAGAGGCAGCAGGGGTTTCAAGATCCGCATTGGAGAGATCGGGCTCTTCGTCATTGTAAATGTTCTCAGACATTTGCCACACTTGCATGATGTTGTCTTCAGACACAGAGCAAAACTGGGTTCCAAGCAACCCCAAGGTCCTTTTCAGTCTATAAAAACGGTACACAGGTGGCACTTATTTGACGTTTTTATTTTAGCAGTACTTACTTATAGTTTACCGTTTAACTAAAGGGGTAAGTACTGTCCTCAAAACTCTAAGATTTTCTGTAGTCGCTCGAATCGATATTTTATTCTCGACTTGAGTAAACCTCACATCTGTAAACCGAGAATGGCTAATGAGAAAAAGTGCTCCGAAATCAGAAATTTGAACGTCAGTGATGCTGATTTTTTATCAAGTTTCAGCTGAAAAGAAAGAATTCGAACAAATGAGGTCTGCAAGCGTTGGAAATCATCGAAAAGTCAACACAGATACGTCTTAATTTGAAGGATTCTGACTAAAAAAATTGGATTTCAAGGATGTGAAAGAAGTTCCGAAACATTCCTCGCTCAATAAGGTTACGTTTTCCAACAGTGATTTGTGCTAGTCACAGGCAAATCACTTCAGATTAAACAGGTTATCACCGTTATGGTATATTTATGGCGTCGTTGGTGATTCAAAAACCAAAACTCGGCTTTTTCTTTTATTTACGTGTAACAAAAATAATCTTACGAGAAGTTCAGGAGGCCCGTCTTCAGCATCATCTGCGCCTTGTTCTTCGCCGATTTTGCTCAAATCCCAAACATGAAGCCTTCTGTCGGTTCCGGAAGACGC